AAAATTCAAAAAGGAGATGCAACCGCTCTCAGGATTCAGGTTATCTAATACGTTAAACACATAATAAAGTGAAGTAGTACAAATTCAATACGTTATCAGTAATCTAGAAACCTTCAAAACCTACAATCAAAGGAGCCACTGGTATACCCGCACATCCTTGCCAGGGAGGATCGGGTCAGCCGGTATGGTCCGTTGTGACTGGTGTGGCACTCGCAACCACGAGACACCTAGAAATAAAGGGTTAGAACAACATGCAGCTATAACGTAATTCCCACAGTGTCGAACAAGGGACGGGAGGAGTCAGCGGTCACTGAAATGGGAAGTCCCACAAATCTAGGGCCAATAGGGTGGTAATCATACCCAAGCCCTCCCTGAATTTATTTCACTAATGCAACTTAAAAGGTGAAACTATATATGAGATAGACTCATAACATGTAAAGCAAGATAATTCAAGCCGTGATTTGTCATAATTGTGATGATTATGGCTTACAGCTCATGAAAACCCCAAGAACCCCAAATCCACAACCTCAAAAAAGTAGATTATTACATGCAATCAATAAAACAAGGATTGTACATAGAACAATATCGGACCTCTGAAAAGTACAAGCATGCATATGTACTCAGTACTTGGTTTGGGCCCCTTTTGCAGCACTTACTGCAATTACTTTTCCACGATATTCTAATTATTCGAGTTTCACCTGTATGTGAGGAGGGGTAACAGGCACATATGGAAATTTCAAGTGCAGGGAGTAGGTAGCTAACCGCACCTACAGTATGGAAATTAAAGTCAGTCTCTTGCAACCTAAGAGTTACTAGAAGGATATGATAGGTTAAGAAGACAATCCTGTTAAGGGGGCTCTCCTCAGTCCCAGAGAGCTGGATTGGATCCGCTGCTGAAGTCTTTCCATTTGGTCTCGGGATCATCAGCATTAGCTAGGGTCATACGATGGATGGTGGGGTGCAGAAGTTCGTTGTTGTTGGGAACAGTCATCATCAGCCACCTCAGAGGCACATCAGAGTTGGTGTTGGACGGACGGGTCTCGTCCTAGGCAGGGATAAGATGTTGGTCAAACAGGGGACAGGCAGTCCTTCAACGTGTAGCAGTGTTTTTAGTGGTCATTTTCACAGCAGGGCCTCGGGAGTCTCCAGAGTGGTTTTGATCAGAGTCACAGCGCGATCTCTTGGAGGAGAGAGCCGCTGCATGCCTTGGATCCGACGAGGTATGTTGGGGGTCCATTAGGCCAAGAGCAGCCAATTTCGCTTGGGTGTCTTCCAAGGTGGTACAAGCATGTTGTCTACCCCCGTGCGAGAACAGTAGTCTAAAGGGGAACCCCCACTTATACTGGATGTGGTGTTTGTTGAGCAATTCAAGACATGGGCGAAGCGATCTACGCTTGGCAATGGTCGTGGGAGCCAAATCAGTGAAGAGTTGATACTCGTGGCCCTGAAAAGTCAGTGGGCCTTTGCATGCCTTGGCTCTGGCTGCCGCCACGAGGGCCTCTTTGGTGCGATAGAAGTGGAGCTTCACCAATATATCTCGAGGGGGTCCATCTTGTCTCTTGCGTTTTAGTGCTCGATGTGTCCTTTCTATTTCTAACCGTTCAATAGGTATGTCTGGGGCTAGTTCCTGGAAGAGCACTGTGGTGGAGGAGAACAAATCCACTATATGCTCTGGGAGGCCCCTGATGCGGAGGTTTGATCTGCGCGATCTGTTCTCCATGTCCTTCAATTTGGACAGGAGCTGTGCATTCTCCTCACGGAGATTGTCAAGGTCACCAGCTACCACTGTCAGGTCAGCATTTATGGTGTCGCATCTGTCTACCAGGGCTGCCATGCGGTGCCCTATGTCACAAATTTCTTTAAGGAGCTTATCAGTGATCTGTTTTGATGTAGATTGGAGGGCTTTTTGTAACATGGCATCAAAGCGTTGCAGGAGTACGATCTGTGACCTGCTCCGGCAACGAATACCCTCTTGACTGTCTAGGTCTCCTTCTTCCATCTCACTACTCGAGATCGAGGCCCGGCAGGTCTGCGGCTTGGGAACACGGGCCGTCGGCGCTATCTTGGCTGAGGCCCGGGCCATCGCCTCGTCAATGGGCTGCTGCATACCCTTCTGTGAGCTGCGGGCGCCCGAGGTCGACATCATCTGATGCTGTGATGTGTCCGGTTTCAGGTAAGGTCGATGGTTAGTTTGGGGAGCGGGATGCTCCGTGCTATGGTGGTATTTGCCTGGGTGAGCTGCGGAGCTGTCTTAGAAGGCAGAAGGTCTATTCTTATAGATGCCGAACAGCAGTGAGTGAATATTCGGCTCTGCTGTTCGGCATTCGGCTCTGCTGTTCTGCTCGGTCACTCTGTGGGGCCAAGCAGAACAGAAAAATAGTTTCAAAAAGTAGAAAAATAAAAATAGAAAACGATTGTGCGGAGCTAGCAATGACAGCTAGCTCCGCCCAACAGTTTTCTATTAGCCAGCGGTTCGGCTGCCGTCAAAAAAAAAGAAATACCCAAAAAAATGTCCGCTCGTCGCTAGAGTGTTCGGGTTTCGCTTGAAGAAAAGGTGGCGACCCTAATCACTTGTACAAACCATTGCACCCCTGCTCTACATGTAGTCCTGCTTGCCCCCAGCAGGGCTACATGTATAAAAAAGAAAAACACCTGCCCAGGGCCGGGACTGCATGTGCCGGGCATCATGCGATAGGAATGATGAATCCCTGTTGTGTTCTGCATTGCTTGTGTGTACTGGTGGGATTTGTACTCCTGTATAGTTAATGCTTTTCTGCACTGCTTGTCACAGATAAAAAAAAACCACAAGGGGGCGTGGCTTAGCAATGGCGGAGTAAGCACGCTTTATACAGGAGCTCTGCACCGTTCTCGGGTGGTTGATGTGATAGCTGACCCCCACACGCACCGCAACTCAAGGAGCCGAAGCCAGGAGACACCCAGGACTGCCACATACCGCCGTACAGCCTGTTTCTCCGCCCGGGCACCGGCTCTTCTTCCCTGCATGAGGAATCCAACATGGCGCTCACACGTGCCTTGGCCGCAGCGCCCACACCGGGTAAGAAGACTACCCGCAGCCAGACCAATGCGTCCCTCCTCCCTGCTGAGAATGATCCCCGAGACAGGGCAAGCTCCCCGATCCACTCACCGGAGCTGTATGCCCTTGCAGCACCATCACCCGTCCTCACAGACACTCAGCCTGTCAGACACTGGGGACAGAAGCAATATGCAGGCTCTTCTCCCCCTCCTATCCACTAAAAGGGACCTGGAGACCATGGCATCCTCTATAGTGGATGCACTTAAGAAGGAGCTACAGGATATTACACATCATATCACTGCAGTGGACCAGAGAGTGACAGTGGTAGAGACCACTACTTCTGATTTAACCTCTCGAGTCCTGGCGCTGGAGTCAGCATCAGCATCCGCACAGAACCGTATCCTTTCTATGCAGCTTCGCATTGATGACTCCGAAAACCGGAATCGCAGAAATAATCTCCGGCTCCGCGGCATCCCTGAAGCCACGGTAGGCGTCCACCTACGGGACGTGGTTGTCGCGATCCTCAACCAACTCCTGGGCAAACCGCCAACGTCGGTGCTGGAACTTGATCGAGTGCACCGAGTCCAAGGGCCACGGCAACCGAGCTCTACTTTGCCACGCGACGTACTCTGCAGAGCGCACTTTTTCACTATTAAAGAGGAAATCGTCCGTCAGGCATGGCGGCAAGGACCCGTGGAATTTGACGGAGCAACGGTACAGATCTTGCCCGACCTGTCCAGGAACACCCTCCGCATGCGACGCCTACTTCGGCCACTACTAGATCTGATCCGGACGGCCGATGCTACCTACAGATGGGGTCATCCCTTTCATCTACTGGTGAGACGTAACAACGCCTCCTTCCAACTCCACACACCAACACAGCTCCCTGCATTGTTTAGCTTCTTGGACACTCAGCCGATTGCGATCCCGGATTGGTTGGATTTTCCCGACGATTCCTTGGATGCCGCTTCATTGCCCCCCAGACCATCCCGGGCGGGCCGTGCCGGATCCCGATCCAGATCCTTGCGACATGCTGCCGTGATGCCCACCCCAGCTGCCCCTGAACTGTGAGTCCAGCAAGTGCTATGCCCACGGTTCCTCCGTTTCCTGACCAGTTTTGACTCTCCTGCCCTGTGTCCCCGGTGATTTATCTCATGGCTCTGGTCACCCCCTCGACTCCTACAACTGGTAGGCTCGGAAACACACCAAACTGCCACCTGCACCACCCCAAGTCGCGAACGCCTTCATATCCTTTCCTCCATTTATGGCCTTACTACAATATCTGTATTGTAATGTATTTCAACACGATGTCTAGGGGTGGGTGGCGGGAGGTGGGATGATTGTCCACTTTGGTAATGCTTGTCAGGGGGCTGGATGTCGATATTTGGCGGTGGAGCCGTCAATATGCTTTGCCACGGGGTCAATGGGGTACACTACCCCACTCTGCGCTCATATTTCCACCTCATCGGTGGCCTCATTGTTTATGGCCCAGGGTTAATGACTGGGAGCCCCCCGATGACGTGGACGTCGGGTCGGGAGGAGACCGCGGCCTAGACCTGTTGTTATAATGTCCCATGGTGCTGTCAAATACACTCGTGCTCCACCTGTCGCTAACGGTCACGGTGGTAAGAGATGGGCACGATACTGATGAGCTCTCATAGCTGAAACTGCGGCCATAAATTCAGGGAGGGCTTGGGTATGATTACCACCCTATTGGCCCTAGGTTTGTGCGACTTCCCATTTCAGTGACCGCTGACTCCTCACGTCCCTTGTTCAAAAGGGTATATCATCAAAGATATATTGTCAAAGATTGACGAAACGCATCAAGGGGACCCGCTGCTTCCTTCCTGACATACCGGACAAACCTTCAAAGGCTGGGCGCCGTTTACACCCACATGCGAATTTTACTCAACCCATTTCGTAAGTGTAATCATTTATATTTGGAATAAAGGACTTTCGTGATTACACTTAGATCTGCTTTCTCTCTTGTGTCCTTTTTCCCGTCTTCCTCGCTCGGTTGGGCTGCTCCTGGAGGGGGTTCGATACCGGCATCAAAACCGTGTGCTGACCGTTTGGAGGAGAGAGAGAAATATAAATAATTTTTGGGGACTTATGGATTGAAGACAAAGTAATAGACACTCTTTTTTTTGTTATTTTTCGTTTCTTTTTCTTTTGGTTCTCATTAATTTTTTTCTCCTCTGAGTGAAAGAGTTAAATGCCTCGGTGATTGAAAGAATCGTTGGCGTAACCTTAATCCACGCCTTATATAGAGACACTGCTTTCCTTTCTGCTTTTTTCGTTTTTTCGTTTTGGGGTGATGATAAATGTTTTTATGTGAGCTATTCGGAATCGAATAGCTGTGTAATTGTAATCAACCAATCGAGTGATGAGATCAACCTTTTGAATCTGAATGCACATGTAATCCATATAGACGTGGGATTGAGTGTTTAATCACAGAATACTGTTTTAATTATCACATTTTTACTAACGAAATACTGAACAAAACAAAGACACAGCTTATAATTAGAATAATTTATTTATTATACATATATTTATTATACTATTTTATTAATCTTTATTCATTTTATCCACTAATTTATTTTTCATTTTTTTCACTTAAATATAAACAACAAGATGACACAGATTACACACATTATTCCCACCCACACCGCGCTTTCTCTAGGATAGACCATATATTCGTTCATACTTCCTTGACGCCCCACATACTTCACTCCAAAATTCTACATATCCCCTCGTCAGACCACTCGGCTGTTACTATGATCCTCCCCCCCACATTGCCAACCTCCCGCTCCCCCATCTGGACACTCAATGACTCACTATTGACTGACCCCTCATCTAAAATGTTACTAGAATCCTATATCACAGAATATATTGCTCTTAACCAATCTCCTGACATCTCCCCTGTCACCTT